GACACCCACGACACCCCCCCCCCCCCCCCCCCCCAAAAAAAAATCACTCACGGTCCAAACAACGTCATCAACATTTCAATAACTCACCTTTTTTACCCAGAGTCTCCTTTTTTCCACAGCGAGTCTTCAATCGAGAATGGCGTGAAACAAGAGGAGAAAAGTCGAAGCTCCTCCCAGGCTGGAGCGCACAGCAACGCGCATCTTGTGGCTTGAGCGTGCGTTTCTGAATTCTGAGGAAGAACCTGTGAGGTTCAGAGAGAGACGTTCGCATCAGCAGCTGCAGCCACTGACTCTGGTCTCTGTGCTGCTGCGCTAGACGTGAGCAGAGGACGCACCTTGTACCCTCTCTCCCCCCTCCCTCCCCTCCCCCCACATTAAAAAAAGTCCTGATTTATGCTTTCAAAACAAAGAAAACTTGTTTATTTTGCAACTCACTTCAACATTTAAATAACAGGAAAGGAAAACGATAGACAGAAGAAAACGTCACACGGAACATTCCCAGGTCACGTATCAAGGTGTTATGGCATCAAGTTAAGGTTGCGAGTTATATTATGCAGCGTAAGATAATAAATGAGTCACTATGGAGGAGGAAGAATCCCTTTTATTGGTCATTCCATATATGGAAAGACATTTACACACTGCAAAATTTATCTTTTAGCCATTTAAGTCATCCCTGGGGAGCAGTTGGTGCATTCACGAGCACTGGGGCGCCAGGGAATTTTTTATTTATTTATTTGGTCAGGGAACCATGTCAGGATTTAAACCCATGATACTCTTATATCAAGCTGAGTCTCTTCCCCCCAAGGCCGAACAAACATAAATATAGTGAAGAGATTCAGGAACGTCTTGTGCACAAATGGAAGAAACCGCTGCTGAATGTGTGCGACCTTCGAGCTCAACCGTCCTCGACAGCCTCACATGGTCTCAGGAGTACTTCACTGACCATGTTCAGCTGCTGCTTTACAAGAATGCTCACCAAGACTGTGTACATCATTGTGTTCCCTGGGCTGGAGTTCATCTGAGGAGGACACAAAAAGAACCATAAACAGGTTCTGCGGTTGTTTACGTCAATGTTTGTGGTAGTTTTTCTCCAATACAATTCAACAATTGTGTGTATATATTTGTACAAATATATATACGTATACAGCATATGTAGATATATATCTATATATATAGAAATATATTTAAAATATATACATTTGTACTGTATATATGTATATATATTTATAAAATATATGTATATATATTTATATACGCATATTCATTTCATTATGTGATATAGACATGTATATATGCAATCATACCTATCTGCAGAATATGGAAATATTGACAGTATGCAAACTACAGACTGCTGAAATGTACCATTTACCATCAAGAAGGGGGGAATTTGACCTTCAAAAGTATGTAGAACCTCCAGCTTATGATTACCAAATAACCTTAAGACGGAGGGTCAAAACAGCGAGCCAACTGTTCTTGATTAGATTTTTTTAAAAATTGCCTGTTTTTGTATTCCTACTCCACTGCTCAGTAATTTAACAACTGAACCTCGGCCAGAGTCTGCTGTGAACTCTTCTGCGTTCAGCTTGATCCTTCTCCATTTCCTCCATTTCAAATGAACTTTGGAACAATTACCGACAGTAAAATACATCCTTGTCTATTGCTTTATTTAAAGCTCCATTTCACTGTCACAACTCATCTAATTTCTGCAAGCAGATATTAAAAAAAAGCAGCCCGTGGAAAGATACTCATTGTTAGTTTAAAAACCACTGTCGGATTTAAGCCGATTCCTCTGAAGACAATAAAGTTGTGAAGCTCTCACCAGCCCGTGGCTGTGAGATCCTATGACTTTCTAAAAGCCATTATGATTTTCGCAGAATGCATTATATTTTCCTCCGAAGGACAGTTTGAGAGGCAGACGATGAATTTATTGGGCCTCGGCTGCATCTAAATACTTT